ACCCACTCTCGTGGAAGTTACACTCTCAGTAGGTATATTAACTCTTTGACTCTAGACTAAATAAGTATTGGGCCTATGCTGTCTTGTTTGATCCACAAACGACCTAGTTTTACAAATGAGACTATAAAAAGTGACCAGCCTAAAGCCAGATAGCCAGTCAGAGTCAGGGCATGGAATAAACCTGACTTCCTTCATGTTCTATTCTCATTCAAATATCATAATGAACAAAAATTTACAAATTTATGACTTGGTGATAAGTGATTGTTATGGTCTTCCACTGGGTCACAGTACCCCACGCCCCAGTGGAGAATGACAAAAGAGATTTTCACCTTCTTGGGCAGTGGGTCATTTTTACTGCCAAGCAAAATGTTTGCTGGATGCCTGCACAGAAGAAATTGTCCAAATTTCCATCTGGAAAACAGGAACGATCTCTCATGAGGGCCACCGCAAGTATCAACTTCTAAGAAAATGAGGAAAAACTAATTTCCACAAATGTAAAGAATTAATATTCGGGCAATTCATATATCTTCCAGCTGTAAAAATAAATTTATCTCCCAACTGTACAAAGTAAGTTATAGTAGGATCTTCTGGGGTAAAATAATTATGCTGCCTTTCAGACAGAATTCTTAGTATTAACCTGTCACTGCCCCCGGGCTGGAGAGCGACCAGAGAGGCTAAGGGAGAGACCTGAATGAGACAGTTCAGCAGTTCCACATTGGAAGCCTTCATTCAACTGAGGTGCCTGGGCAATGTAGTGGGACCCTGCATCAGAAGAAAAAAACATAGAGATGTAGCTCAGAGATAGAGCACTTACCTGGCATGTGTGGGGCCCTGGGTTCAATCCCCAGTACTGCAAATAAACTGTGAGTTGCAAGATTGAAAAAGACTATGTAATGTCTTTCCCACTACACCTAGAACCGTCTCTTACTTGAGTAGTTCTCTTCAACATAATAGGCTTCATTTAGCCAACACAAAACCCATCAAGAGTCTACAGAAGAGAGGTACAGAAACTCACATAGTAAATGTATGCCGTAGAGTGCAAACAAGGCTTAATTAGCGTTATAATTTCTTCACCATAGGAGCTCTGTGGTTAGTTTGGGGAAGCTGCGGCAAGGCAGAGATAAACTTGGTAGCTATCTGTTAAAACCAAGGTTGCCTTGATTGCTACACAGCCCTGGTTGACCACAGCTGAGCCACCATAATCATCAACAACTCTCCATCTAGAAAGCAAATTATATAGTCACTCTGTTTCTGACGGGCTTGCCTATCTGCACAAATTTCCCTCTTCGGCAATATGCTGATTGTGCCAGGAATCCTGCTATGCAGAGAGAAAAGAGTGATGAGCATAGATCGAGGGTCCTGTGATTAGGGAAATCATGAGATAAATCAATAGTAACAAGAGCACCTCGTTAGATCTTTACCATGAATACCTGGGAGACTTATGGATTTTTTTAAATTTCTAATTAAATTCTTACAGAGGAGCAAATGCTGTCGTTATCACTACATGACAAATGATGAAGCTGAACTTAAGAAAAGTTAGTTAAAATATCTGCCCACCTACCTGAGCATGAGCATGACTACAGGTGATCTGGCATTAAAACACCTAACAAAATAAAATATTTTGTTCTATCTTCGAGGTGTGAAGAATCAATTTTGGGAAAGCACAGGCCAAAAGGAAAAAGTAAGAGGCAATAAATGGCAGAGTATTATGCCCAAGTATTCAAAGATCTCTCCCAAGGTCACATAATTAATATGTGTCAGAGTTTAAAAAAAAAATGATGGAAAGAAAATAAATACTTATCAAGCACATCCAATAAGCCACCAGAACTAGTTTTATGTCTTATCTTACTTAAAGCCCTATAAAGGTGATGGCATCTCTCTCCATTAGGGACAAGGAAATAGAGCCTCAGAGAAGTGACTCACCTGGGTTACAGAGTCCACTCCAGATCTGCTTGGGCTGAAGCCTGTATTCTCTCCCTTATACTGTAGCAATTGCTTTCCTTTCCCATATCCCAGTGTGGATATCAGGAATCCACTGAGTATCTAGAATCAAGAAAGATAAATTCAAAATTTCACAAAATGTAATCCAAAAATAAAACTGACTTTTTTTAAATTGTGGAGAAGAGAAAGTAGACTGCGTCACCACATTTTCTTTATCCAGTTTCCAAAGCAAATTGTTATGCAGTTGTGTATAACTACAGGAAAAAAGCAGGGGGAGATTGTGTGAAAAGACAAAGTGATCCAAAAAGTATTTGTTTCGCTGCTGAGCTAGTCATGCTGAATCTCTAGAAAGAGCCCTCACAAAATGAATTAATCTCTTCTTGCTCTTCCCCTAATGCTGATTATAATAAAATCCCCTATTGGATGTCACAGTCATTGCGGAGAAGAGAAAGGAGTAGTCTCAGAGCTATGGACGAATGTGCCCAAGCTCTGAAAACAGGGTTCATAACACACCATTCGGCTTCCAAATTAGTTTAAGACTAAATTTTTAAAAGCTAAAATCTTTGAAAATGCCCCTTGTCAGCCCTATTTCAGTATGCAAATGCAAGGTATTAGTTAAAAAGAAAGCAAATAACAAGGGCCTGTGTAACTGCTGGATGCAAACCCATGAGGCCCAGCTACCTCGAGGGTCAGACAGGCTTATGCACATTTGTTGACAATCACGCCCGTGTACTCTGGTTCTCACACTCCTCCCACGCCGAGAGCCTCCCTGCCTGGTCTCTGTCCAGTCACTTCTTGAGGCCCAGCCTGGGCCTGCTCTCGCACACGCTGACTTCTCTCATGATCTCATCCACACTCATGGCTTCAATTCCCTGTTGACCCACAGTTATGCTTCCAGCCAGGATGCTCTGAACTCTAGACTCATATATCTGTCTGCTTTGCGGATGTTTCCATGTGGATGTCCCTCACCCTGCCCAAAAGGAACTCAGCTCTCCTCCTTCCCCTGCAAGGAATCTGTCTCTGAAGAACGAGAGACTGTGTCCGTGGGGATACCTTGTTCCCGTTCTCCATGAGTGCCAACAGGCGCCCTCCGGATACACAGCCGTCATCTGGATATCTGCCTGGCACATCCCTCCTGGCCCCCCTCTGTCCTGCACTTTCCCCTTCACGTTACTTGCTTAGGAAATAACAGAAAAGCAAAAGAAGCTCAACAACAATGCTTCTTATCCTTCATTGGTCATGTTCCCACCTGGCTAACTTGCTTATTTCTGAGTTCGTTATTCTGAGGATTTTTATGTCTTGTAAAGAGAACAAAAATCATTCAAATAAACACCCAGACAAGCATTTCTCTAAGGTCCATGAAATGTTTCTTCCAAAAGATTTGAATTGGAGGTGTGTCTTTACATTTTTTTCCCTTAACACAGGCAGTGGCAGTGGCTGTAAGTCAGTAAGATTGTGTGTTCATTGTGTTCTTCAGACTTCCTTCCTTCACCCTGTACCTGGAGTTTAGACTTCCAGGCAAAGGCTCAGATGCACTGAGGTTGTTCACTCTGGCCCCAGGATGATTCCATCCTCTTAGAGCACCCTGGTAGTATGCTTTGTGCACAAATATGAGGTTTGGATTAAGAAGCGGGACTTGGTTTTCGCTGTCCTTGGGATTAGGCTGGCTTACCGTGTGATGTACCTGACAAAATCATTAAGTATGCGAGCAGACATAGCCAAGCTAGGACAAGCTTGGCTGTTTGTATGGGAAGCCCTGGCTCTCCTCATCACTCCTCTAGAAGGATGAGGCCTCTGTCCTTTCCCAGGGGCAGCCTGATGCAGCAAAGCACACCAGCCTGACCTTTCACTGCTAGTCGCCTGTGTTGCCAGCTGTCAGTGCAATGGCTGCTCCCACTGGACTCCTCTGCCTGCCTTGAAGCTCATTCTGGGCCTGTGTGGGGGCTCCCACCTGCCAGCGGGACATGTGGCACCCTGCCTAGGGCTCTGCAAGCTCTAACCTCCCCCCTGCACAGAGAATGCTCACTCTTTACCCCCAGTGGGGGAGGATGCCAGAGGTAGCTGCAAACTTGCTATAGTTTCACTCCTGCTTCGTGACACTGTATTTCCTGAGAAAAGTCCACTCACAGGAAGGAAGATCACTCATTCCCCTTTGGAAGCACAAATTAGTACTTATCCAAATAAAAGCCCACTGATCCTGCGCACTTGTGCCTCTTTGCAAAAGGGCTGCGTGGTTATGTCTCTGTATGGTTAAGTCCTGAGAAGTCAATTCTAGAGTAAGGAACATGCTTAATTCTCCTGAATCTAGTTTCTGAAACTACTTTGAGCATGGCACACTTTTGGCCAACTTTTCCGTGGACGAAAGTTCGGGAGGACCAGGAAAAAGCTTGTGAGACAGGATGCTCTGGGCGCGCCCAAACTGACTCCAGTTTCCAGTCAGTAGTAGCCGGGCACAGTGGCGCACACCCGCAATCCTAGCACTGTGAGAGGCTCAGGTAGGAGGATTGCAAGTTTGAGCCCAGGGCAAGGTAGCAATTTAGTGAGAACTTTTTTAAAAATAAAATTTAACAAGGGCTGGGGGTGTAGTTCAGTGTGAAGGCCCCAGGATTCAATCCCAGTACCAAAAAGAAAAATCAAGGGGCTGGGGATTTAGCTCAGCGGCAAAGCGCCTGCCTGGCAAGCGCAAGGTCGTGAGTTCGGTTCCCGGTACCGGAGAAAAACAAAAAAAAAAAAAAAAATCAGCTGCTCGCTGAGCAGGCACTTTTGGGGACAGGCTTTTGTACTTTTAGGGACAGGCTCTTGTGATTATGGGGCAGGGAAGCTACTGCCTCTTTAAAAGACCAGTACCATGCCTTGCACATGCTGTTGCTTCTCAGCTAAGGCTCCTTAGAGAAACTTATAAGGAACCACCTTAAATCACCAAGTCAGTCTGGCTCCTTCTTTTAAGTGACCTGGTAGAAATTTTGCTCATTATAACACTACTTTTTTCCCCACGGCTATTTGTGCCCGCCATCTTTCCTCGAGCACGTGATGCAGAACCCTGAACTGAGCATGCCTGGGAATGCGCCCACCTCTAGAACTGACGACGAGTCTTCTCTAACTGACTGCATCTAAGTCCCCCACAAAAGCCTCTGCTCTCTTTGGTGAAGAATGCTTTTCCAAGGCTGTGAGTAATAAAGCACTTTTAGCTACTTTACCCACCCCACCCCGCGCTTATCTGCTTTGCATTCACCAAGAGGACAACACTTCCCTTTTAATCACAAGGACAGGGAGCTAGGAGGGCCGTGTCTCCCTGTGAGCAATAATCTGCAGGCAGTACCAGGTCCTCACCTAAAGAAGTGGGTGGTGTTCAACTGGAAGAAGAAAGATTATCCGCCACTTCCTGCCACCCCATCCCTTTACCCTCCCTCTTCACCTGCAGTTTGAACCCTGTGTATCTAAAGTTGAGAGAAGCCCAGGACGCAGTGGCAGGTGGTGCTTATGTGACTGTGAATGCAGTGTGGGTCCCAAGTTGAGGAGAGCATCATTGGGACCACATCCCCAGTCCTCATTTTTGGCTATGAGTGGCAGCATGACTCCAGCCCCGGGCCCAGTGGAACAGCCTTTTCCAGGAGGGCAGTAGGAGCTGAAGGACATGCCAAGGGCCTGGTCAGAGAGGGGAAGAACAATCCAGGCTTATCACTGGGCACAGAGGAGAAACCACCACACAGGCGTGTCCAACATAGCAGCCGTGTCCTGAGGTGGTATCGCCCCTGTGATTACACCCAGAGGCTGGAGAGCCCTGGGCCTGCTGGCTACTGCCTTTGTACATCCACCTTCAGGTTTTCTCCTTCCCTTTTACCCCAGGCCAGCTTTCCCCAACCTCCCAGTCTCTCTGGAGCAATCAGATCCAAGGAGGTAGCCAGCAAGCAGAGCCTTTCATATTTTATTCACACGGCTCAGTGGGTGGTGGTGGTGTCAAGGCCTCCCACGGGGTTACTGGACACAAAACAGGTCCATTAAACAAACGGTTGGACTCAAGTCCAGGTTGCTGCTGGTAAAGTGAGTTCCCGTTCCCGTTGTCCTAAATCACGGGGGATTGTTTACTGCGAAACACAGACAGGAGAAACAGCAGCCATGTGCCTCTGCATGTCTTGGCTGAGCTGACTTTTGCATTCTAAGCACTGTAAGCACCAAGTGGCTGGGATGGCTGGATGCCAAACAGTAATGTTTCCTTTTGCTGTTATTGAAAAAAGCATTCAGGAAAACAATTGAGCTCAATAAGGGCCTTCCTGTTCCGGCAGGCAGGCAGACCCGTGAACCACCCAGCAAACATGGAGTGAGTCAGACTGGGGAGCTGTGAGCTTCCTTCTCTTTTGTCGCCGAGCTCTCTCCCAGGCAGCTGCAGAGAAGAGGAAAAGCCAGGCCCAGGAGGCCTGCAACTCTGCACCCTCTCACGTCAGATTAGCATTTTCAGAATCCACTGCTCCTACCTCTCTGACACCACGGGATTTCCAGGCTAACCAAGGTCAGTGTTTACACAGGCGATAGGAAAGGCATTGGCTGGCTGTGGGTCACCCTCCAGCCTGAAAGTCAGTTCTGCAAAGGAGGACCACTGAGGCTTACTCCAAGAAAACTCAAGATGCCTGCCTTCTCAGGGCTTTCACTGTGTGCTGGACACACATTGGATGAGCATGTGCTTGACTAACTGAGAGACAGCCAGATAACCACAGTTGCCCATGAAGGGTAAATGACTGAGCCCCAGTAAATCAACCGTGTACCAAACTAGTTGATCAGAAAAAGTGTGTTTTTGCCCTTAATTTTCCTGCCCATGTAACTGAAATACTAAGTTGCACTAACCTGTCTTAGATTCATGAAAAAGAGCCCAGAGAGACATAGTGTGGTCAGTGCTTGTTTGGTGGTGATGAGACTGATTCGCTCTCTTGCTCTCCATCTGCCCTTTATTCCCTCTCTCTCATTCTTTTTTTTTTTTTTTTTTTTGGTTTTTCTCCGGTACCAGGAACCTAACTCACGACCTTGCACTTACCAGGCAGGCGCTTTTGCCCCTGAGCTAAATCCCCAGCCCCTCCCTCTCTCTCATTCTGTCTCTCACTTCCTCTCTTGGAATCTCTCTTCCTTGCTTGTAGAGTATCATAAGACATCCTGCTATGAGTAGAATCTAAAGTCTAAAAGACCCTTCAAAAGGAGGAAGAGAATGTGGGGAGAGTGAATAAGACTGCAATGCAACATGTACATGTACAAATTCCCCACGATGAATAGAATTATGTACCACGAACATGTACTACTGATAAATTTACTTGAAAAATTCTTCAAAGGATGACCCAATAGGGATGGCAACCTTGACACCATTTCCCAGAGTGTTCCAACAGCCAGTGCCCAAAGCTGCTTAGCCAAAAGTTACAATGAAAGATGTTGAATTTCCAGAATCTACTCTGCCTACTGTAAAAGTTTCTACCAGCCATTTATATTTTGATAAAATGAGTTTTAATTCAAAACTTAGTGGCCCTACCTATCCTACTTCTATTTGTGCATCTCATAAGTCATCTGACTTCCCATTTCTTCCTCTCAAGATGGGAATAATAATAGTGTCTACCGCAAAGGATTGTCCTGGGGGTTAAAAGAGATAGCTATGGAGCCAGTTTTACTTAATATCTTACCCAACACTCAATAAATGTAATTCCTTGTAGTAATAGTATTACTACAGTAAGTAATACTAACACCAGTATTAAAGTGTTTTGGCACTCATACTAGTAGTAAATTAATAATGCCATTAGTACTACCAATATTAGTAGTATTACTACTCATTATAAGCCAATCAATAATCATTGGGTCAATTGTTTTGACTGCCTATCTAGTAAATTGTCCTTGACTGAAAAGAAAGCACAATGTCACGCCTTAGGAAGGCACAGACTCTTTCTTGTGCCAAAAAGAAACTAAATTTCTAAGTGGAAATCTTTTTTCATGAAGGATGGAGGTGATTTGTCAGTTGAAGAGTAGTATCTTTTTTCAATAATAATAGAAAATATTTTTAAAATGTGCAGGCGGCAGAGGGTGGGGGGAGTAAAGGCCTTAGATTTTTCAAACATATTTTCTGGTTTTGGTTTTGGTTTTGAAACAGTCTTGCTATGTAGTCCAGGCTGGCCTTGAACTCACTATGTAGCCCACACTGGCCTCAAATATGCAGTAAACCTCCTGCCATGTCACCTGAGTGCAGCGTTTCCGGGTGTATGCCACAAACCCCTCTCAAGTCAAATATATTAAATCACTTCAACTGATACATTGTTTTAAAAAAATTCACATTTAAGAGTCATCTAGTTCCTTAAACTAATCAGATGAAGTAAGTGAAAATATTAATTCAGTGTTACACTGAAATAGCTGCCACATTTGTACACTAACTCTATGTGATATTATAATAGAGGGTATTTTTTTTGGTTTTCATCCATGGTTTCTGCCTCATAATCTGCTCCCACGACAGATCATAGAAACTAAAGCTTCTCTTCCCCAAGGTGGACTATAGAAACTCCAGTTGTCCTCCACCCCTCTGTCTTGGAGCTGACCGTAAAGAAACCCTCTGACCTACCTCTGCATAGTATGTCTTGTGACCCTCCTCATTCCAGAGGGTCCAAAGAAGCCAAGAAGAATCTAAATTGACAGGCCTTTCTGGGTTGCCCCACCCAATCTATCAGCAATCTTGCCTGTGCAATGAAGTCTCTATGAAAACAATCCAAGAGTGCAGGGTTGTGAGAGACCAGAGGGCTGAACGTGACAGGTTCCTAGAGGATGGAGTGCCCACGGAGGGCATAGGACCCCTTCCATCTTCTCACACACCTCACCCTGTATCTCTTCCTCTGCATTTTCTGTGATCTTTTGAAGTCAGCTTGTAAATAAATGTAAGTAAGTGTTTTCCTGGGTCCTGTGAGCTGCTCAAGCATATTATTCAGCCCTGAGGAGGAGATTGTGGGAACCCCTGACAGCCAGTCGGTCAGCAGCACAGTAAGACAACCTGGGGCTTGCAGTTGGCATCTGAAGTCAGTGTTTTTTGTCCTGGGCGGCCAATCTCAGGCAGAGTGCCTGCAACCTGTGAGATCTCACACTGTCTCCAGGTAGACTGTGTCAGAATTAAATTGGATTAAGAGACCCTCAGCTGGGTTCCACTGCTGCAGAATCAATTGCTTTATGTGGGGGACCACACACAGACATCTGGTGTCAGAATTCTTCTATGCTGATTGAGGTGTGAAAATTGACAGAAAAACACACAACATTTTGTTTTCCTGAGGCACACTGGATTAGACTTACAATTACAGGAAATGCCAGGACACACTTTCTCTTCACTCTAAAAAAATTGTTTAATCAAACTCATTCAAAAACCCATTCATACAGTCAGGTGGCAGTCGCTGGCACACTTCAATCAGTCCATATGCATATTCATTGGAAACTGAGCAATTACGGCCAATCTTGGGTGCACTTCAATATAGGACACATCTCATTTTAGAATCACAGTCTACATCCCTGAAAGAGGTTCAGCTTTGGTGTCAATCATTCGATGGAGGAAAACTTTCCATAGTCAAAAAGAAAAAAAAAGCTTCAGCAAGATTTTGTCACTGTGGCCAAAAACATCCAGAACAATTCTGGGTAACAGACTCAAAGTTCTTCCCAACCATCTTCTTGGTGGGCACAGGTCATTTTCAGCTCAGTCAGGCCTCTGGGAAAGCGAACCACAGGAGCAGCACAGATGCTGAATAAATCAGATACATCCTGTGGTTCTGTGCTTCAAAGGTAGCCACAAATTCTCAAGGTCTGATTCACAGTCATCACACTCTATGAATGTCCTTCAAGGTTGTTCTTTCACTTCCAGTGAACAGCTCTGAAATTCCTCAGATCTATTATGCTGGAAGATCAAGGAAGTTCTACAGTAGATCAGGAATGTGGTAGGAAACGAGTGTAGTTGTCACCTGTTCAGGCCACTTGGCTCCTTAGAACCTGCATCTACTTGAACAAAGATGAGAGGGAAGCCAGAATCCATGCCTTCTTAAACCTTTTAGGGATCCAAGGAAAAGCTATGTGTTTAAAAGATGTTCAAAGCAAGTAGCTTATGTCACCCAGGCTTGTACGCTAAATTTTGAAGATCCTACCAAACTATTCCGTACATGTGTGCATGTTTTGAATGTCTTGAGGCTATCACTTCTTGGCCTTTTGGCTAAGATCAAGTGAAAGTTTTGAAGCTATGCTATATCAAAAGAATACAAGGTAAGAGAAACCTATTAATTTTCCTAGCAGACGTACCCTATTAATGGAGCCAAAACAGCAAGCCAAAAAAATGATCAGAGAGCCTATATAAAGACTACTATTCTGGGCATAAAAGTGAAAACTGCTCTCAGTTCTTATGGCATAAGAAAACACCCCAGAATTTCATGGCTTAAAACAATGACCATTTATTTCTCTCCTAAGTCTATAGGTTAGTAATGGGGCTGTGCCCAGCAATCACCTGGGTTGTTCATCAGATTTTATCTGGGCCTCCTAGGGCACCTGTGGCGGACTGCTAGACCAGTTGAAGTACTGCTCTAGAACAGTCTCTGACTACATAATATCCCATCTTCCAACAAGTTAGGCTGGGCTTGTTCATAAATAGTCTAGACAAGATACCCAGAGTGTGGAGGGGTCAAGGGCCTCGTGGAGCCACAGGCTTAGAACTACCACAGCCTTCTCTAGCCAAATTAAGCTCCAAGGCCAACCTGGATTCAAGATGTTCAGAAACAAATCTCACCTACTGAGAATATGAGATTCAGAGTTCAACTCACTGACATGTTCCCTGAGGCCACACTAACTAAACGCAAGAAGACAAGGGTAAGCATCAACAGAGTACAGAATTTCTGATCAGAGCAGACTAGAGTTCAGCAAGAAGAATGCATGACACTGCTTCCTAGCAACCTTTCCCACCATTTGGTCCTCCATAATTTCATGAGCCAACTCCTTGGTGTAAATCTCTTTATACACTCACATATGCATCCTGTTGGCTCTTTCTCTGGAGTAAGCCTAAGCATCAGTATAAGTACTTACTGGCATAAAATGCAAAACAGCAAAGGAGTACTATGCCTGATAAAGGCAAATGTTTGTTCTCTCCCCAGGTTGACCATCCCTTGGTTCTTTCAGTATTAAAAAATAATTGCAATCATTCAAAGAAAAATAAAAATCTGAATTGATAAAGCCTTACCATTACTGTTGATCTTGCTACATTTCTGTTGCCACTTTTTATTTGGCTTGATGTTTTAACTTTGGTTTGGCTTTGCCTAAAATGGTCAAATGCCTGAAATTTAACCATGAGAGATGCACCACAACATCCACCCACAGGCACTGCCATGAGGGACTTCTCTGGAAATCTTCCAGAGATTCATCTTGCAAGAACTAGCGCGTGGAAGCACTGTCCTCGGAAGCTGACAGCAGAGGTGCTGATGCTGCGCCCACAGTGACAGGCTCCCCCTTCTCTAGATGCCTCTCACACTCACCCAA